CCCCAAAACCCCAAAACCCCAAAACCCCAAAACCCCAAAACCCCATGAATGGAAATTAGCTTCAAAATAAAGTGTATGAGAATATAAGTTTATCTTAAATCAATATAGATTTTTATTGAGGGTCAATGTGACATATCGAACTTTGGTTGCTTCCATTCAAACTAAGTCTTATAAAACGAATTTGTGAACGATTCATCTGGCTTGAAATTAGATTTTCTAAGGTCTGGAGAAAACGGAACTTTGGATTGTTTGAATTATTCTGCAATCTTGTGATAGAAGTTTCCAACATTAGTCTTTTTGTTTATGATGTCAGGTGAGAATGAAGTGAGGGTTTTGGGGTTAAGATCTTGAACTTGCTATTCTCTAACAATCTGAGGAGTATTCATACCGAAAGGAACATTTGATCTCTTTAGTGCTTCTTGATCAATAATGTTATTAACTGGCCTGCCAGTTCCATAGTTCTTGCCTTCAAATTTATTCCAAACATTCACCTCTACGCTTTTGCCTATATTTTGAGAAATCTTGAAATTCTATTTCTCTGCAACCATCTTAAAAGCATCCTTAGCATTCTTATTGCCATAAGATTGATTTAAAATGTCAATTGAAGCAGCTTTGCTATGAAGTGGATCTGGAATCTTAGCTCCGCCATTTGCGTCAAACCCTAACTCAAAGGCATGACCCAATAACTCACTTTTGAGTTCCTTTGTGGTTCTTATTTGCCTATCAATCGGTGATTGAACTTAATTATTCCCTTTAGTGTAGAATGTATTGTAGTAACTGCCATGCATAGTATTAAATCTCTAAGTCTTATCACTTATATTTTAAGCTTAAGCAACGTTCAAATTCTTAATTAGATTAGGATTCACGAATCTATAATCCTATTCTCTTTGCTTGTCTGGTGAAAATTGTTGTGGTGTAGGAGCCTAGCTAGCATATAATTATGGTGTAATTGGCTCTCCTTTTCTGCCTATTGAATAAGTAGTTGATCTCATCTTGGCTCTCAAGTCTCTAGCTTCTTTATGCTGACTGGCATCAAACTTATCCAGATTCAACTGATGCTTAACATTTATTGTTTGGAAATCTGGCTAGTTTGCTTGACCTATTCCTGAAGTTAAATATGTTCTGGGTGAGTGTTCATTTTAAGCTTTTAGAATCTTATTGATATGCAAATTATTTGAATTATTCAGATTATTATCAACTTCTTCATATCTATTTGAAAGGCTTGTTTGAGAAAGCTTTGTAGAAAAACCTCTACTGTTTGCTCCCTGTGTTGACATGGCCTCATCATAATTGAGGCTCTAACCTCTATGGGAAAAGGGGCTTTTGCCTTTTTAATTGTATGAAAATCTTATTGAGCTTTACTTCAAAGCTGATTGGTTGACAGGTCTTTCAACTTACTCTAAAGCCTCTTTTTTCATTTTATTCACATCAAGATAATCTGTAAATGGCTCAAATTTCATAGTTTAAGCTGGACTCATTTTAATAGTTGATGTGTTTTTATGAGGCGGTGGTGACTTTGTCAAAGCTTGTTTATAAATTTCCTTAAAATCCTTATTGTACTGTTCCTCAATCTCCTATCTGTTAATTTTGTCATTCTGTGATCCTAGTTAGAAATTTGATGATCGCAGTCTGTTTTTAAGCTAGTTGACAACTTGTCTTTTTTCAGCATAATCTTTTTAACGATCTAATTCCTGAACTGGCTGGGACATTATTCCACTAGTTTCCGATTGAGGTTTCTCATTTCCTAAGAAATTAGTTTAAAAAAGCAATGTAATAATGAGAGTAGTAACTTACCTACATACATCTTCTCCTTCAGATGAAAGTTCTTTATCTATGCACTAACTTTGCTTCGGTCGTTTACTGTCTCCTTATATTCGGTCGTGTCATTTTTTTTGAAGGTTGATGTTTGTATTGATTGGAACTAGTCATCTTTATTGGTGTCTAATCAGTTATATATATAAGAGTAATAAAATACTTGAACCCATAAGGAGATTGACTTTTCCCATATACTAAGTTATAGTATGTCTTTTATTGTGAGGGATGTAGTGAGCAATATCCTCATTTTTGTATAATTTATACAAGGGGTTTTGATCCTTGAATATTCCTTGCCGTTTTGTTGAAGACATAATACCAGTAGTAAATAAATATCCTATTTTTATTTTAATTAAGTTTATTTTCAGTTATTTTGGAATCCTGGGGTTTTGGGGTTTTGGGGTTTTGGGG